TTCAAGATGAAATGTGTTAACAGTTTTCAACTCGTGTTGTGAACTTCTCCTCCTTTAATGTTTGTTACCATTTGATTAAACTCTATGACGAGTTTGACCATTGATTGATATCAGTTAGAGAATCACTGAAACCAGCAGGGAGTACTTGACAGCTAGTTTGGGACTCATCGACAGTACTCATCCACTCAGGTCTGAAGCCAGGATCTTTTGTATACAGGGCGGTCTACTTCAGAGAACACTCAGGCACTGGCGCCCAACTCCTCAATACCCAGTCAATGAATTCTTAATTCTAACAATTCGTGATTTTAGCAGAACTGGCATCAACCAATGTCACTGGTGGAGAGTATTTGTTCTCACTCCTATCCTGATGAACTTATTTCATCAAAACTTCTCACCTGAAATCTAGTCAACTTTATTCTGTAACCAGTCAGTCACTATCGACCATCAGACTAATTTAACAGAGTAAACTTGTGTGGTTTTGATTTGTTCTTGGTATGAGACCGCGGACTGATATCGTTTAGATAGCATTTGAAAAGGAGGTAGTACAGTGGAAGTCGTGTCCCAGTGGCTGAATGGTCTAAAAGCTTTCATTGTAACAGAGTGGCCGTGCGTTCGATCCCTGGCGCTTGATGCGTACTTCTGATGAAATTCAGACTAAGTCGAAGCAGCTGTCCAGCACTCCAATACTCGCTTTCAATGGTTTTCTAAATGATATCAATGAGTCATGAAATGTGGAAAAAATCAAATCCATACAAACCAATACTTAGACGTATTACAGTATGTTAACTATCAATGTTTGGAAACATTAATTATTCAAACCGACTCATTTCATATCATTAGTTAATACTTATGCAGGCCTACTTTATTCTGTCTTATATTAAGTTATCTGCTAAAAAATCACCGATAACTTTCTTTCACATAAATTAGCATAAATTACAATAAAATTGTCTTCTCAATATAATGGTTCATTCTAAATGTCCAGTTCTGCTTTGATAATAGAATTTATCGACAAAAGGATGGTTTATCTCTGGAATCACCACTAAGTCAGTCGCTTATGGATTTCTTCGTGTCAAAACTCGAAAACACATACTTGAATAAAATGATTAATAGCTTCAGATTTCACATGGATAATACTGTTGTTATCGTCAATAATAAAGTTAATTCGGAAGACATCCTGGATGTTCAGCTGACAAGATGTGAACATGATGGAACTCTAAAATGATTCATCTACAGAATGCTGACACGCCACAGAAAACGCACTAGCTTTCATTGTTGCCTATCTCTATATACAAAACGATTCCTGATCCGTTCATTGTTGCACAGAATCCGCAGCATTTCCAAACCGGAATGTGTGGAAGACGAGCTGAACACGCTGAAAGGCATCCTCCTTGAATATGGTCACCCATAACTTTCCGTCACAAAATCCATCTAGCGAAAACCACTAAAACCACCCACATTATCTGCTCGTGAAAGCTTCTCCACTTCAATCTTCAATCTAATGGAGACTCGTCGGCAGAAATACTCGGAAACCACCTGTTCCTTCTATTGATTGAACAAAGCCTTCTTCGCTGCTGATACTTAACTGATTTTCTCCACGAGACCAATCACTTGTATGAATGTGAAGGATAAGCTGCCACTGCTGACTGGCCTCATCAATGTGTATCTATCAGTTTAACTGCCTGTGTGCATCTAAGCATGTTGTCCATATCCAGCGTTTGCTATCGAAGCTTATCTTCGGACACTTATCATCGTGGTTCTATAAAAGAGAAGATTGATTCCCCTACTCCATGCAGCTCTAACCTGGAACACTTGATCAAATCTGTTCCCCGAGCTAACCCACAAACCAACATCCGGGTCATCTACAGAATATGCGGGAATGTTACTAAAAGAGAAATTCTTCGCTGAAACATCTTTCAGTAGTGTAAGAGTGAAACTTATTGAAAAGAATAAGATTCCAGATTGGACTGTAGTATTCATGCCTCAAATTTAAGAAAAACGTTTTGAATGAGACCCATAAATATCTATTTATAACAGGAACTGAATTAGGGATAAGTGGACCAAGAACTTGACTTCCGAACATCAGGTCACAGGATGTTTGACATGTCTGTACCCATCCAGGTTCGAGCAGTCAGATAGTGTCAGTAACCTTCACATGACCTGGTGTGGGAAATTGTCAACTGTACGACAGTACAAGTGGCTGTCGAGTAACATCCATTTTCGGAATGCGTTATTCTTGTAAAATAAAATACAGTTAGTGTCAGGTTCGTTTCAACACTTGTAGATTAATTTGTTGTGCCCTAGTTACTGGATACGCGATGAAGTTTCCCGAATTTCTGGTGTGAAGTGATGACCAGCATAATTCAGCAAGTTGGATGTGAGGACGAATATTCACCAATTACGCTGTCGAGCACTGCGAATTGACAGAAGATAGAATTGGTGGGTGGTTGGATTCCTCCCTCTAGTGTTTTTGTGGCATACGAGCTGGCCTTGTAAGAAGAAGGTCTAGAATTCCATCCATGGTGGAGTCATACAGGCGTACTACGGAGAAGTTCACAGCAAAGATGAAACAGCTGTCCAGGACTTCTTGGTTTTCAGCGACGCGACAACTGAATTCACTTCACGGTCACTCTTGAAATCAATCAAATCCCAGCAAACCGACGCTTGAAAATTCTTCCATATTGCAGAGGTGAATGTGGTTTGTCAATTCTAGTCCACTGTTCCTTTTGTGAATGAACTATGGAATCGTCTGTCTGTCACTATGTCCTTTATGCTTACATTCCTATGACATCTTTCACTTATCGGTACAACATATTTTTCTATCGTCTCTGAACCTGTTTTCGGTGCCTCAAGAGGATTTCCATCTGATCCTGTTGACTCTCCGGATGACTTTCAGTAGCTTGATTGCATTGAAGACTTCTGCTTTCGTTTTAGGATTGATATACACCGTTGTTGGTATTTCCGGTCGACTTGTTAGTGATGGTCAACTGAAGAGTCCTTCGAAGTGATCACCCCCTGCTTTTCTCTGCCCCTTCTCTTTTGTCATTATGTTCCCTTGACCATCTGTTTTTGGTTTCATCGTCTGTGTTGATTTCATCTCGGATAGGCACGTTGTTGTCTGATATAATGTCCTGAGGACTGTGTTGCCTGTGGTCTTTTCTGCCTCATTTCCCAGTGTAAGCTAGAATTGTATTTTGTCTCTCCTAGCACTCTACCTCACCCTTTATTCAGCGCGGTGTACATTGAACTCAGCTTCTCCTTTGTTTTGAGCATTCGTGTACTGAGTCGTCTTTTGTCTCGCCATCCTACCCTCTTTTATTAGCTTACAGGTGTCCTTAGAGAGCTATCTCTTGTCTAGTATGTTCTTTTGTCATTAAACATATATGAACGTTTCCTCCGACATCACTTTCAGAGAGTTCCAGTGGTATTCCGAGTATTGTTTTCTCATTGATGCCAAGTAGTGTCTCTGACTTTTCTCTGATGACTGCAGTGAACACGTCTTTTGCAGTTTTGTCCTAATAATATTCCGGAAACACTTTGTCCTTTGAAACGCAATCACATAGACAAATCAGCAGCTTCCATAGATTTTTATTTATCACATATTTGTATATTGCGGAAAATTTTTCATTCAATTTTGTGAACACTTTTCAATCCGCCGGATCGCTTATGGAAGCATTCATTTGGTTATTTAGTAGAGTCCGACTGGCTACAGCATCGAAGATGATTCCCCCTAGATATATATGAAACAGAAAGAGTTTCAGTGTTGCGTTACCTCAGGTCTGTGTGAAGAACCGCTTGAAGTTTGTCACACGTATGTCGGTATGAATGTCTTACTCATATTGCATCCCTCTCCGCCACAATAATAGTTCGCCATCAGACCCGTCATCACTGTGTGAGCATCTTACGCTAAGACAGTTTCCGCTCTTAGTCTACCGGACATCCGAATGACATTTTTGGCATGTTAATAACTTCAGAAACATTCGTTTCAGTCAGTGAAACTTATTGAGCCAATCATCAAGTCAAGATGGTACCTACCGCCTGGACTTTTTCAACCTCCTATCTAATAATTTGATTTGATATGTGAATAAGAAGTACCCGCAGATTTTCGTAATCAAATTTCCTGAGTATTTTATCAATACTGGCTTTCAACTCTGATCACTATGTTTGTTTAACTAAGCGTTTATCACTTAAATTTATCTTAAGTGTTTCAAATCGAAAGAACTTGGCCCGTGTTCTAAGCGACAGAGACAATGTTAAGCGTGAAACTTATGACTTGCTCTGTTATTAACAACATAATTTTAGGCTCTTTTATTTCTCTCTTATTTTGTATTCTTTAGTGAACTCCTTCTCAAACATACTTAGCTACCTAAAATATTAACATTGGCTTCCTTTTTTGTACTTTACTATATTCCTTCTATTGTGTATCCACTGGTTCCGACTCTATTAGCACTATGAGTATTACAAAATTGTCCTGTCATTAACCATCATGTAATATTAGTTTTGTGGCTTTTTTTTCTTATTTTCTATACTTTTCGGCAATATTAAACTGACAATCATTGGTTGTGAACGCCATAGTCACCACCTTAAAAAATTTTGTATTATTCAGGATTACTCACACTACCACCACAAACACTGCATTAGACTTTGGTAGACTTTTGTACTTTTTCGCATTTATAATTATTTTGTGTTTATCCTGTTTTGTTTTTTTTTGCTGTTGGTGTCTTCAGATTTATTTTTTTGTTTGTTTAATACTTATTTTAAATGTCTGTAAAATTAGATGCAAATATTGTAGATATGTGCTGAAAATTCCACACTGTACCACTAGTACTGTTTCTGGAATAAAGCAAATTATTATTATTATTGTTATCTTTAAAAGTCCACATAGATAACAAAAAGTTATTTTTTTGCAAATTGATGATAGCGCTGTTTGTATTTACGATGGGCGTATCAAAGGTCAATGTGGAGATAAATATATATATATATGCTATAAATGAGCCGAATAGATACTGTTAGCTGATCGCCTTCATACAAGTTTACACTGTTTAACGTTTTACACATTCAGGTGAGTAAAACTTGGGTACTCTTTCAACTGAAATCGAATTTATCTCCTGTAAAACTAAGATTATATCTTGACAATCTTGACAAATGACTTCCACTTATATAACGAAACTTCTAAATAGGACAAGTAGCCTCTTTTCATGAATTTTATCATGAACAAACTATCCTTTGGGGATTGAAAATATAAGCTGATAAATGGAAAGCCTTGAATAACATTCCCACTTTTGTATGCTGAGAAGGCATTTTTCTAGTTGTCTAGTTATGAAAAGTGTCAATTGTAGTTTTAAAAATAGTTCAGTACCCAATGAAACCCTTCAATTCTCAATAGGAAATTAGCAGGAAAGTTAAAGAATTCATGGTGTCTAGCTGGCCAGTGATTTGTCATTCATCCTATGACAGGAAACACACGGAAAGAGCTCAATTGTAAACCACCCACCTCATGATAGATTTCGTTGAGTTTACCAGTATGATTATTATTGCCCTACTCACGCTTTCCTCGATTATATTCGATTCTATTGATCCACATTGTTTCAAATATCTATCTATGACTGACAATTCATCATGTAATTGTAGTAAGTCTGATGAGAATTCAGTGGAAACACGCATTTGGTTACTTGAATGGTGTTCTATGTTTGTTTCATATGTAACTTTTGATTTGTTGTAAATTCACTATTTAAACTTGACATTTCGTTTTCCTTATAATTTGTGTGTTTAATATATCCGCGGAAACTTGCATACAATTTTAAACAAGTCAATATTGGTGATAATTTTAATAAGGTTATAATTATTATGTTTAAATAGAATTATTAATTGATTGGCAAATTTAGCCAAGATATAGCCAAGATGTTTTGCTAATAATCCGTCGTATAATTTCAATCCCTAGTTTTGTTTGATATCAATCTGTGTGGTAATTATATTAGTAGGATTCGAACCTCCAGTCGCTAGATTACTATCCGAAGGCCACTAGTTCGAATCCTCCTAGGACTCATCACGTTGATATCATTTCGCTATTCTATAGCTATTCCACATAGTCTCACCAAACATTCTAAACTTATTTTCCTGTCGCAACATACTACTGATTGTTTGAAATAAGTAGTTGGATAGCACTTATATCATCAACCAGTAGTGGTTGCTTGTCACACTGAAGGGATCTGAATACTGAATGGCTGCTTAGCTCTTTCGAGGTCAAGCTCATCAACGGTGTATCCGGTCTGACTCAGATCAGGGAGTTGAATCATTCCAAAACCAATTAAACACTGGTGACGTACTTGGGTGAACGCGAAGGCTTCACCTAGAAGACAGCCGGCGGTGAAGACTGTCAACCACCAACAACAACAACAACAACACCATTCACCGATCACAATCAACGGGAGGAAACTGAAAGAGAACAACTACTTCGCAATCTAGCCAAGCAGCATCCTTTCAACTACAGGCGACAGCACGGATGTGGACATTTAAACCCGGATCGGAGAGGCAAGACAGACAGATCTTCATCACTCAGATTGGAGATATTGTCAACACTCAGCAGCATAATCAATCGAATTCGGATTTTCAGCAACACAGTCAAGTCAGTCAGTTCTGTTATGTATGTGGATCGGAAACTTGGTTAGCGCGTCACGAAAATCATTTCCAACAGCCATCATCTACAGACTTTCACCAATGGCCGCCTCATTCGCTGCTGGCTCCACACTGAAGATCAGAAGGCAAGAACGAACCGATAAAGAAACTTTCATCCTACAATAATGATGCAGAAAATGTAGGCGGATTTGAAATGCACTGAGGAGATTGTCGGATGACATCGTGCGTCAGGCTATCTCTGGAGTGTAGCCCAAACGCGACAAGATGAGTTGGGTGTCCTATTATTACATGAAGGAGATCGTTTCAGGAGATAAGAGGCTATGGGTAGCCGTGAGATCATCAGAAGATGACAAATTGCGGATGTGTTGTTGAAGCCGTATTGTATCAGCAGAAGGCGAGACACGGAAGTCAAAGTATATTTTGAAGTGATCGAACCGCTATTTATATATGTATGCAGTTTTATATTCTCTAACCAATCATTGAGCGTGTGATTTTTGTTTACATTCAACGACGTGAAACCGAATGTTCAAATACATATACCATTCTGTTGCTAGTGCAGTATTTAACTGAAAGAGTATGTGAAAATAATATTCCGTTGGAACACACTGTCCGTATCACACCACACCCCTCTAAAGCCAAGGGAAAAACAACAATAATAATAACTTCGGCGTACCACTAATACATGGGACCAAATTCTCAATTTAAAGAAATACACGTTTCAAGGTGAAAATTCATGTTGCTCATGAGAAACCTATAACATTAATAACAGCATATACTCTTTAGTGAACGACGGAGCTGTCCATATTGCTTATATGACAGTTCACCTGGTGCCACCTAACGAAGTTACTCAGAAATGGTTGTAAGATTTCTCTGACTCAGCTAATTATTATTTCCTGATGATAATGTAACTGAAATCATCTTACTATTTCTGTTCGTTATCCAACTGTTTATACTGTGATCTGAGATGCAACTGTCATCAGTCTAAGGCTCCATCTACAATGAAAGACAACACAAAGTCGGTGGTCGCTGTTTTCAATATGCACCATGGGATCGTTTTCTCAAAAACCGTCTTCCTGATTGAGTGGGTGGATCTCATTCCAGCCACTTTTATTCCTTCCTGAATTATTCAGAATTCTCTGAGGCTGCTTCTTTACATGCAAGTACTACTTACTGGTGATAATTTGAATTCCTTATTGTTGGCGTTGTCATCATTTCATGCATGTTTTCCATGCATATCGTCATGAAATTGGTATTTTGTAGTTCTGTAGGATGCAGATTAACCATTTACCATTACGCTACGACTGGTGATCACACTGGAAATTTCAATGAGAATAAGGGAGTTTTGTTTTGTGCTAGTGTTTTCTGAGGGCTGGCTCTTAGCCAAATTGGTAGACAGTAATTTACGTCAATGCTTATGTCCCCAATATTGGTCATGTGAAAACAAGAACAACGACTGACAGCAGATTTTCCGTAGGCAGATACAATTGGCAGATAGATGATCCGACATTCAAGAAACAGCCACATAGAGATGAAAGATTAACTTTACGTGAGAAACAACCAATCGGAAGACTGTGTTTGTCTGCTAACAATAATCTATAATATTGTACATGAAAATCAATAAATATGTGTTGATTTCCTTAATAAACGATCTGTTGCCTAGCCCTTGTCTTCTGTCGTTACACTAGTAACTGTACCCTAAGCATCTTAATGCACCTTTCCATTAACTGTCTTAAATACCTATACAGTTAGTATTAAACTGGTGGATGGTGACTAGCAGTGGAATCCAGGATGCGCATTTCGTCCTATCTGTGACTCGTCACCTGGATAAATCTGCATTTCTCAGTGAGTGATGATGTTCCCACCGAGGCTCGAACCCAGTGCCCATAGTTTCAAACGCCAAAGCGTTATCTACTAGACCACTTGGGCCATGAGAGCCACCTCTTGTGCCACGGATCATATTGATTTAATTGAATTTTAAATTTTCCCGTCGATTGATTGGACCAAAGTGCTCGGTCTCAGGTTGGCATGTCGGCTTCTTAAGCAGATGCTTCGACGATGTCTGGGCATTTAATTAGTATTTAATTAGTGGATGGTGACTGGCAGTAGAACCCAGGATAACGTGCATTTCGTCCTATTTGGGACAATTAAATACTAATTAAATGCCCAGACATCGTCGAAGCATTTGCACATGAAGCCGACATGTCAACCTGAGACCAAGCACTTTGGTCCAATCAATCGACGGGAAAATCTAAAGTCCAATTATACCTATACGATTATTTTCATACTTCCATATTTATTTGTGAATAAAATTAGGTGAAAATGTGTGTAGCGTTTCCAAGTCTCAGAGAAGACATACAAAGTTATTGTGATATTAACCAATTTCAAAAATAATGCCTTCTACACTGAAGGTTATCAAAAATGTATCCACGTGTTTTCAAACATTAATCAAATGACTAAAACAAATTGAACATTGTACATTTAACGTCTATTTCTATGAAAGTGTGTTCAAGTTTGACACCGTTTGCCTTTTATTTTCTCATTTTTATGTCATTTCAGAGAAATGCTCAAATCTCTAATCTCCTTCAGCACTATAAGCACTATCACAATCTTATTAGTATTGTTGTTATGTGAAGGAAGTCGTGGAGATACACCAGCCAACTGTACTTATTCGGATGCAATTGGTCATTGGGTATTTTATGTAGGCGATTACCAGTCGAAATGCTCCAGTAAATGTGAGTACTATTCTTATGATAGTGATGATGATGATGCCGATTACTCTTCTTTATATAATCATACTAATAATTTTCTACTTTTCATTTGTAGTTAAGCATAAAAAGGTTGTCACTATGCACCTACAATATCCAGATATTGTTACTGATTCCTATGGGAATACGGGGAAATGGACTATGATATATAATCAGGTAATGTTCTCATATATGTGTAATACACGATTTGTATTCATTTCTGACATAAAAGGGCTTCGAAATTATTATCAATCATAGAAAATGGTTAGTTATGTTTCACTATGAGAAGAAATCCAAGTTCAATTGTCATCAATCTATGCCTATGTGGACACATGATACATTAATTCGTCAATGGTATTGCTTCACTGCTTTCAAACATGGTAAGACTGAAAGGTGAGTGTTGTTATTATTATTATCATTATTATTGATTTTGGATGTGCATTTGTGCGTGTTTCTATGCATGCATGCATGAATGCATGTCTTCTGCTGTTATTTAAATGACATACACTTTTGCAGATTTAGTGTTTACAGAGGTTTTAATAAATTTACAAATGGAACCAATATTCCATATTAGTTTGTTCATTAGATATATCACATAGTCAGTGAAACAGTATTATTATTTACTGGATGAAACAGTTTCGAACAAAATTCATTGTTCATAATCATATCAATCAGTTATGATCACACGACTTTGACACTTGAGTTTTATAGCATTCTTTGTTTTCTCCTATTTATCGTATGGGTAGTAGGATTTTCCAGATATCGGGGACAGGTGATGAATCATTCCTATTACATGTATTTGCAGTTGATTCGATAAACAAAGCCTGTGTTATCAGTATCTTCCTCCACTCTGCTTTTACATTAGATTTTAAAACTGTCACCCTATCCCATCCTATTGTATGGTTGTGTGTGACTGCATGTAGTGAGTGCTACAGCTGAACTATTCTCTAGATTTCTTATCTTATTCGGGTCAACCAATCTAGATTTTGCTGCTAGGTTTTTATGTTCAGCTAGTCTGACTGCCCCTGTTCTACTAGTTTGATTTATGTATTTGACCTGACAATCATTCCAGCAGGGTATGAGATAAACTAAATTGCTTTGTTTTAAAGGCTCTACAGGATCCTTTAACCGACAAAGCTTGTTTCTAATTGAGTTTGTGTTTGGTTTGAATACCAGCCAGTTTTATTCCTGCCTTGTTAAGAATTCTGCGTAAGCTGGTTCCGAGGTTCCTTCCTTGTATGGAATTACTACTGATGATTTAGACTCTTTATTGTTGGTGTCGTCATTAATATTATTATTATTATCACTATTATTATTACCATTATTATTGTTATTATCACTATCGCTTCTATCATTATTTATTTTATTTTTACATTTCCTTACATATTTCCTGACTAATTTATCCGGATAATTATTAAGTTTCAAGGCTTCTTTTATGTGTATCAGTTCCTGTTTTAGATTTTCTATCGTACTACTTAATTTTTGTGCTCTGTCATTTAAACATTTCACCAATCCTATTTTTACTGACATAGGATGGGATGATCGGAAGTCCAAATATCTGTTTGAGTGTGTGGGTTTCCTGTAAACACACACTAGTGTTTACCTTCCCATCTCCTTTCCTCTTTACGTTTCAATCCAACATTGGGAGCTCCCCTTCCTGATTTTCCAATTCATCATAGGTGAATTGAATTGCTTCAACCTTCGAGTTGATGTGTTCGAAAAACCTATCTATATCTTGTGTTCTAAGTACAGTGAATGTGTAATCTACGTACCTCCACCATACTTTTGGGGTGGGGGTGAACGTTTCAATCGCTATGCTTTCCCACTTATCCATGAATATATCTGCTACCACTGGGGATATTGGTGATCCCATGGCAACTCCCTCAGTTTGTTTGTATATACATTTAATAGGAATGATTCATCACCTGTCCCAGATATATGGAAAATTCTACTACCCCTACGACGACAAATAGGAGAAAACAAAGAATGCTATAAAACTCAAGTGTCAAAGTCGTGTGATCATAACTGATTGATATGATTATGAACAATAAATTTTGTTCGAAACCTTGTCATCCAGTAAATAATAATACTGTTTCACTGACTGCGTGATACATCTAATAAACAAACTAATATGGAATTACTTACTAACACAGTGTCCAAGTTTTACACATATAGTAATGCAAGCAATATTATTTAGATAGTTATTGAAAGTTGAGGTATTTGTCAGGTAATTTGATGATGCTGCCTGCGTTCAGTCTGTGGTTGGATCATCAGTGTGCACTGTCGACAAGTCACGAAGTGGAACGGAGAGTGGTATCCATTGTTCCTTGGATGTGATTTGGTTTCTGTTGTACTACTTGTAAGATCATGATATCTAATGTTTCTGAGGGGAGGAAGAAAGTTTACAACACCAGTTAGTGAATCATCTGTCCAACTTTGTAAACTAGGAAATACACAAAAGACAGACATATCTTCCACACATTTATTCCCCTTTCAACGAATTTGAATAAAGCATGAATGACAATGGTTTGTGTAGAATGAGATAATACCATCATTTATTTCGTTATCTCCTCCTCATCAGCTCACGCCAGGCTAAAAGATTATTATTATTGTATCCTTTAATTCCTATAGGAACGTAGGGCTTCAGCCATTCGTTGCGTTCGGTTCTCTGCTAGAGTCTTCACCTGGCTCCATGTCTGCCCACATGCTTTCATCTCCTCTTCACATGACCTCCTTCAAGTCACCCTTGCACTGACGACCAACTCGCTGCTTCCCTTTCGGGTTCCACTCAAGGGCTTGTCTAGTGATGTCACTTGATGGTTTCCTCAGAGTATGGCCAATCCATCTCCACTTCTTCCTGCCTATTTGTTTCACAATCGGTTCCTGGTTGGTTCGCTCCCAAAGATCCCTGTTGCTGATCTTTTCTGACCAGCCATCTGATCTTGAGTATTAAGCGAAAACAACTGTTAATGAAGGTCTGTAGTTTGTTTGAGATGCTCTTTATGACGCGCAGTGCAAGTCTCTGATCCGTATAGTAGCACTGACTTCACATTGGAGCTGAAAATTCGGATCTTATTTTCATTTGTATGCTGAGTGCTGTTAACCTCCACACAGACTTGAGAGTAGTGAAAGCTTATCTTGCTTTTCCGATCCTCGCTGCTTTGATATCCTCGTCAGTTCCATCCGTCTGTAGTTGAAACGATGCTTCCCAGGTAGGTAAAAGATGTTGTTTCTTTCAGGTTCCTCCCATTTATGCTGGCTGATTGTTGTCAGTTGTTGTTGTTGCTGTTGGTGATGTTGCCCAGGAATCTTCATCATCCACCTCTGTTTTCTCTATGTTCACCTGAAGTCCTATCTTCTCTGGATGCTTCTTCTGCTAACTTGTTGCTTTTCTCTTGCATATCTTCCAGTTTGTGGGAAATCAAGGCTAGAAGATATTATGAAGTTATGCAGAACAATTTTTAAAATCTTGCACATGTTACATGATGCTAGTTGACACGAGGCTGCAGGCTTAATTAACGGTGCTCAGATAATCATGCTCAAATAATCTTTTCTCTCAGAGTTCAAGTTCAAACAAAGTTTTCCAGAGCATCCGCTATCAGATGCTTGAAACCTGATTTATGTGTTCACAGAGAATCAGTTATCAGTCCTCTCTATCTCTGGTAATTGGACGTCTCTACTCTCTCTCTTTCCCTCTATCCCTCAATCTCGTTCATTTGATTACGTACTTTGCGGCTTCATTTATCTCCTCCATTTATACACTGGGACTTTACTTGTCTCTTCATTTATGAGTTGGACTGGACTCACCGTACTACTACTACTACTACTAAATGTTTCACCAACACGTCGTCTTTCTCACCTCACGTCTTTATCACGTAACTTCGTAAACATTACATGCAAACATTTATTTTTGTCTAAACTTGCACTGTCCATTAGGTTTGGCGGCTCCTGCAATTAATTGACATCATGTAACATTTGCAAGTATATTAAAATTGTTCTGCATACATACTCAATAATTCGAAACATTTATTTCCCGATACGAATTTAAAACAAGCAATAAAGGTTAATAAAGCAGGATTTATTGAATTCATCAAATTTCGGTAGATCTCATCAGCTGAATACTCTACATACACGGATATATATACTTTTGAAATTGCACTGAGAGATATAAGACTGATAAGTAAACAAACTACATTGAATTAGTCATGCAGAAAGACAAGTGCGAATGTTTTTCCAGGTCATGTTCAATTAGATAAGGGGAAAGAGAGTATGGGAGATCAAAATTAAGATAAATTGCATTACGCTTCAATTACATCACTTAGATAAACAATTAGACATTAGAGAATTTAACAAGAATTGCAACCAGAGGGATGTCAATAGTAATAGTTATAATAACAATAATAATAATAGTGTTGAAGTGAGTTAAGATAATGCTACTGATAAAGGATAGTTTTAAATGAATCAAGAATAATAATAATGAGAATAATAATATCAATAGTAAAAATAATAATAATAAGAGGTAGAATTATAAGTAAAACGTATTACCATGGTAGATTCAGAGTCACGACCATCTCCTTTTGTACACAGAGACCTGGTTTTTAAACTCCCATTGCACAAGCCTCTGCAATTGCAAGCATCTTCTTGTTTCTTTGTCTGCTGACAATAGTGAATGACTTGACCGCGTCGATATCATGTCCATAATCCACAAGATGCTTTGTTATTGAGGATTTCGGCACTTTGCACTCAGCTATTTTCAACCATTTTGGTAAATGCTCCATCATGCGAGTAGACAATCTCCTTTCCGTACGACCTATGTATTTGCTTCCACAAACACACTCAAATTGATATACGCAGTTTAAAGTGTCGAGGATTGGCGACTGGTCTTTCCCAGATTGTTGAAGCACTCGCTTAGTGGTGTTAAGGAAAACAAGTTTTGCAGCAAAATAAGTTCAAGTGATGGCTTTGTCGAGTCTTCGTTTGACTACTTCCTGTACATCATCTCCTTCGAACGGCAAACTGATATAGACAGGTTTCTTCGGAACTGTTTGGATTGTTTAGCAGGGGCTGCTTTCTTCAGAGTATTTATTAATGAACTTCTCAGGATATCCATTCTTAGATAAAATATCCTTCAGGGATTTTATTTCATGCTCAACAGTACTGACAGAACAAATTTTTCGTGCTCTATTGAACAGTGTTCTGACTAAGTTCTTTTTATACTGGATTGGAACAAAACTCTTCAAATGCATGTACTGTCCTGTCCATGAAGACTTTCTAAATATAGATCTTTCGATTGTGTCATCATTCATTTTCGCCAGAAAAACGTCTAGGAATTTAATAGTATCGTTTTCCTCGTGTTCTACTGTGAAACTGAGATTTGGATGGCATGAGTTGAATTTTACCAGCATATCTTCGGCCTTTGATCTGCTTCCGCAGGTAATAAAAATGTCATCAACATATCTTAGGTATAGATCCGTTTCTTGTATATGTCACTGCAAGGTACCGGTTTCTAGGCGTGACAAGAATAAGTCAGCGAAAAGTGGTCCCAAGGGGCTTCCCATTGCGACACCATCAACTTGACGGAATAAACGCCCCTCGAATTGGAATTGGACATTTTTAGTACATAAAAGTAGCAATTTCCTCAATTCCGACGTTGGAATGAGTATGACTTCAGCTTCTTTACATACTTCATACTCAATAATTTGATTAGGCTGTAGGCAGCTGATGACGACGAGGAGGCAGCGAAATAATCGATTGTAACATCTTATTTAACACAAACTTCTATTGTTTTTCCTTTATTCAAAGGCATATCTACCAGTATAAATAAGCTAGCCACTTCTATTTCAGAAGTCATTACCTGGAGGAAATTTATGACTTTAGTGATCCACCCGGCAGAGTGTGACGTATCAACACCGGTCAAAAAATATGAGTTGATTTCTATTAGGCTAGTTGGTATGTGTAAAGCTGTCTCATTCAAAGCGGAGGTGGAGGCTTTGTTGTGAGTGTTTTGTTGTTCACCCGTGAATCGATGAGAATTTGAAACCACCGGACAGCTTCGTCAATCTACTTTGCGATTTGTTGACTATCACAACGCAGATGCACGTTCAATCGAATGCGTTGTACAGAATTATCTCTCTCTCTCAACTGAGTCGAACCGCGTAACCAGCTTGTCAGATTCGTCCTGAACTAGCAGAACGGCCGTCTGGTGTCTAGATCGCTTGCATCTGATGAACAAACACTAATGATTGGTGTAAGCGATATCCGACTACTCACGTCAGCCAATCAGTAGTATTTAACATTATGAATTTGTTTCCACCTTCTTGATCACCCTTCCTAAGGCATCCAACAGATCATAAATTGTCATCGGAACAATTTCGCTCTGACTTTGAACTGTGTAAATTACAAATCGTGAATTCATCTGCGAGTCCCATTCAAAGGTATTTGTGATTTTGTAGTGATTTATTCTTATCGACACCTTAGTGTGAGCATAAAAGTTGAAAGCGAACCAATAGAATAAGTCTCCCATTTCAGCGAAACATGTTGTCATTTCGTGTCTCCCTTCTATTTGCAGCCAAATGAATTACTCACTGTCTGGTGAAGAAATTGACGAAAACAGAATGTACCCAGTTGATCCCGCCTTTGTGGATGAAATCAATAGACAACAGAACTCTTGGAAAGCAAAAATATATCCAGAATATTCAACCTATACAATTGAAGAAATGAGACGTCGAGTTGGTGGAGCAGCGTCTGTATATTCAAGGTAATGAAAGTTGTAATTTTCCACTAAATATTCAGAATCTTGATACGTGGAGTGTCATACTAATTTGAAATAAATGACAATATTACTAAGAGGAGCTATAATAGTGCACATTGTTCATAAAAGGGGCACGACTAGGCCCCTCTCTCTGTCTCTCAGGTAGAAGAAATCGATCGAAAAACCTCGTAAATCTGTCTGCATTAGTAAAGATCTAGTTACAAGTCTGCACGCGTCTCCTGGTAGTACAATGCGTATGTCTTGTTATGAATGTCCCACTGCCAAAAACTCTCTCTCACTTCAGTATTGAGTCATACCGGCTTGGATCTTGACGAGATAACAGATTTGCTTCAGTGATGGTAACAATAAAGGCATGAAACTCATATTGTTAATGGGGTTTCCAACCAACTAACTCCTTGTTAACTCTTCTGTAGGGCTCGTTTATTAGATAAGACAATGGGTAAATAATCACTTCTACCGGAGAATCGGCTAACCAAGTGTATCATCCCCTTGCATAACCATCTTACTAATACCTCTTAGTGTCAGCATAAATGTTTATAATACACGTGATGATATATATGCTTAGAAAGTGCACACTGAAATTACCACTTGAGATGTTGTTCACAAGGGTAAGAAAAGCTTAGAGAACATAGAGAAATCAAAAACACCCGGTGAAGCTACTAACTTTCTCTACTGTTTCTCGATTAAATATAAGTGATTTACTTTGGAATTTGATCTGATGAGTTCTCGAAAAACTCAAAATTTTTCCTGAGGTTCATTTACTAATGCAACGAGCCTACCCAACATATGTATATATAAAGAACTGTGTAGTCCCCCTTTTATAGTTTGTTCTGCTTTTCAGCTGTTATCTTATCGAATGAATTTATTGCTATCTCTGTGTTGGCAATGACAAAAAGCCCGGGCTGCTTTCGCTAACTTACACCGTCTCTGGCGTAGGCTTGACATCCGGCTATCAGCAGCAGTTTGCTCCGTCCTTCTCTATGGCGGTGAGACGTGGCCATTGAGAGCGGAAGACATGAAAACGTTGACTGTTATTGACCACAGATGTTTACGATCTCTTCCTCGCGTTAGGTGGTATAATAAGGTAAGTAATGTTGACGTCAGGCGTAGAGTGTCGGGCAAAGAGGGAAAATCAATCGAAGAGGCTATAAAGTTACATAGATTGAGATGGTTAGGTCACGTGCTGCGCATGCCTAACCATCGCCTCCCCCACCCGACGGGCATTACTAGCTGATATAGGTGCAGGTTGGAAAAGAGTAAGTGGTGGCCAAACAAAAACATGGCCTCATCAATCCATGAAATCCTTGACAGTTAAACTAAGTCAGGTAGGGAGATGCAGACTTCCGGGTTGGGGCCCTCGGGACTCTAAGAATCAATGGCTGGAGACAGACAATAGGTGACATGGCTCAAAGTCGTTGTCAATGGCTTACGCAGATGTATTCAGTCTCTGTAATCTTTCATATTCCTTTCTACCATTACTCATTCTGTTTCACTCCTATACTTGTCAAAACTCTATTGATTCTCTTCACTCATTTTCTTGTCTACCTTTGTGTGGTCTTTGGAACGTGGCAACTGGAACTGCTGCACTTCGGTGCCAAGTTCTATGTTGAATCCAGCCAGCCAGCCAATGACAACCTCTGTCTCCAATTTACTTTGTGTCACGTTGAAGTTTTGTACCTTGACCCGCCTATTTATCTCACTACAGCTTAGTTCTCTTGCTGACAGGTTGAAAGGGTGAAATCACTTTTCTTTTTTCGGCCATCAGTAATGACAGTTACAAGTCATTATTACACTTCGGAATCGCTATGGAATTACCAGCGGTTTACGAAAAGGAATTGAAGATTATCTTAAGTGCTTTGATGCGCAGAGTTTTTCAAGTCGGTCAGGTTTCTGCACACTTTACTATTGTAATTGTGCAATAAGTACACTGTATACTAAGAGTACTGACATTTTTCTGTTATATGACAAACTCTGATGACTACCAACAGATCATTTTTCATGTCACTTCTTTCAAAAGCACGAAAGAAGGTTCAGGTTTAATTAATTCAACAGTACTCCTAACCTCAAGATCGAAGATTTTTCTCTTCAGCCTTAGATGTGATCGCCTTTACATAAAATTATCTGACTGTTTGATTGCAAAGGCAGAGAAAGTGTTACTTTAAATGGCTTCACAATCATGCCTTAAATTGTTAAACAGTTTCGTACAAAATATATAGTTTTCAACAACCAATGTCCACCTCTATTAACATTGCAGTTTGTCAAGGAACTTAACCCTGAGTTGTCATGATTTGCGGAGACGTTCAGAATCGACAACTATTAAGTATGAATATCGACTTGAACTCCAAAACACACAAGGACTTGTATACAGAGTCTATAAACAAGTGTTTTACAAATAATGTATAGTACTTTTATTCGTATTCTTTCGTCTTCTTTCAACTTGTACACGATTGAACGTTTCGCTGCTTCGAGTTGCCCGCCAATGCCTACTAAGGTCAGTGGACCAATGTTCAATGTTCGTATTCCTTAACACAGTTTAATCTAATTTTGTCCAAAGAGGATAATGCAGATATTAATAATAACAATAAGAAGTACAGAATACGGTAATAAAAAATTAGTTACTCAACAAACATACGCTTCAGTTGCATTCACAATCTGATTAACAGAATGCAAACATTGGAAATGAATGTAATGTGTAGTGTTAATTTAATTAATTTCTTCCAAATATCATGATATACCTGGTTTCAAATGACCTCCCACTTTACATCACTGGTTCAATGATAGAATGATCGTCGATCAGGCGGGAAGTTCAATTGTGTGATTGCCGGAAGACACAGAACTTAACATATTGCCAAAACCACATAGTGAACACACAGAAAAGAGGATAGGTTGAGTCTGATGCTGGCAGCGTCACTCCACATAGCGCGACACCACTGATTCTAAAAGTTTAATTAAGAGAAGCTTGAAGACCGTTGCTATTCTAGAAACTCAAGGAATGAAAAACAGGTAGAACTTAATATATGTGTAAAATTTGGGCACTGTGGTAGAAAGTAATTCCATATTAGTTTGTTTATTAGGTATATCACATAGTCAGTGAAACAGTATTATTTACTGGATGACACAGTTTCGAACAAAATTTATTACTGTTCATAATCATATCAATTGTGATCACACGACTTTGACACTTGAGTTTTATAGCATTCTTTGTTTTCTCCTATTTGTCGTCGTAGTGGTAGTAGAATTTTCCAGATGTCCGGACGGACAGGTGATGAATCATTCCTATTACATGTATTTGCAGTTGATTCGATAAACAAAGCCTGTGTTATCAATCTCTTCCTCCACTCTGCTTTTACATTAGATTTTAAAACTGTCACCCTATCCCATCCTATTGCATGGTTGTGTGTGACTGCATGTAATGCTATCTACGGCTGAACTATTCTCTAGATTTCTTATCTTATTCGGGTCAACCAATCTAGATTTTGCTGCTAGGTTTTTATGTTCAGCTAGTCTGACTGCCCCTGTTCTACTAGTTTGACCTATGTATTTGACCTGACAATCATTCCAGCAGGGTATGAGATAAACTAAATTGTTTTGTTTTAAAGGCTCTACAGGATCCTTTAACCGACAAAGCTTGTTTCTAATTGAGTTTGTGTTTGGTTTGAATACCAGCCAGTTTTCTTTCTGCCTTGTTAAGAATTCTGCGTAAGCTGGTTCCGAGGTTCCTTCCTTGTATGGAATTACTACTGATGATTTAGACTCTTTATTGTTGGTGTCGTCATCAATATTATTATTATTGTCACTATTATTATTATCACTATTATTGTTAGTATCACTATCGCTACTATCATTATTTATTTTATTTTTACATTTCCTTACATATTTCCTGACTAATTTATCCGGGTAATTATTAAGTTTCAAAGCTTCTTTTATGTGTATCAGTTCCTGTTTTAGATTTTCTTTGGTACTACTTAGTTTTTGTGCTCTGTCATTTAAACATTTCACCAATCCTATTTTTACTGACATAGGAAGGGATGATTGGAAGTCCAAATATCTGTTTGAGTGTGTGGGTTTCCTGTGAACACTAGTGTTTAACTTTCCATCTCCTTTCCACTTTACGTTTCAATCTAACATTGGGAGCTCCCCTTCCTGATTTTCCAATTCATCATAGGTGAATTGAATTGCTTCAACCTTCGAGTTGATGTGTTCGAAAAACCTATTTAGAACTTCTCTGTCATATTTTCATGCCTTGTCAGAATGTGGGAGACAGATCAGTTGGGACAAAACAGAAATATTGATTTATTTTAAGTACACACAGACTGGTTTCATATTGAACTCCACATCATGTTTGCTTCGAAGATTTAATAATCTGTCCTTTTTAAAAATGTTCGTTTCAAATTCCGAAAATGCATTTTCCCGTATTCAAGTCATTTTAACACAATCAGTAACCAACACATTTGAACAGTCACCATTTAAGAACAATTCAGAGTGCACTGTGACAGTGAAGTTAGCCACCCAGCATGCTGGTCACAGTGCAGAATTGACTGATAGAATTCAGTCTGCACAAAAGAAGAGGAAGTACTACACGAATGACAATGGTCACTTATCGTATATTGTTCAATCAAAGTATGTAATATGCTCCTACAGGAGATCATTCACCAGCCCGAATACTTCATTGGTAACGTCTGACCGCAGAATTGGTTGGCGCAGTTCCGAATCTCAGAAGGGATATGTGCCCCTTGAATGTCATCCAACAAACACGGAACCCAGCTTGAAGGTTTCCTCCTGCCAACTACCTCCAGTCATCTATTAATAACAATTCAGGGGGCGTCGTAATGGAGAGCTACACACAAAATAGTGGTCACATTGCAAACTTGTCTGATAGAATTCAGTCTGCACAAAAAAACAAGAAGGGCGATGTGCATGATAGTGGTTCCACCAATGCTTCATAAATACTTCATGATTTATCATAATTGGCGAGAGAGTTGAACTCCATAACTGTAGGATAGCGATTTCAAATGGACGACGGATAGATAGGTAGACAGATGGACAGATCACACTGTATCACTCTGATGAAGTTGTGGTGAGCGAATCGCCGACTGTATTCAAAATAAAAAATATATAGGCATCGCAAAGCTGTAAACTATTCATCAATGGATTTCACTTTTCACACTTTTTAACGAATGTTATCCTCGTCAAGCGACTGGATGCCCGGCTGTGTATGTATGGATTTGTCAAGATTAACAGCTGAATATCAACAACTGATACTGTGAGAAACGTTTGTAGTTATTTTCAACACAATGAATGCATCAAATAACTCTAAAAAATTTCGTATTAGCACAAAAGGAACCGTATCTCTATAGCACAGAACTAATGGGATAACTTATTTGGTAACTCTTAGGAAGGTTGTACTAACTTCTTGGTTTTTGCACATGCGGCAAATCTTCCAGCGGTTTCTCAACTTAAATCAACTACATTCCGTTTATAATAAACTCATTCAAGACTGATTTCGTCACTGATTAATGTGATATAGAGAACGACGGAACACTTGAGAGCATCGGACAACTCTTTCGTCCTAGTTTGCGGCTCTTAATCAACAGACGTCTACGATCCCACAAGAAATGGCATAGAGCATTTAAAAATAGTAAATTATTTCATCTCACTGAAGCATGCTTCATTGTGTAATAACTGTGAAATTTAATGTTCTTGAATTCCACGATTTCAGACTATCAGTGTTACTAGTGTAAACTGCCTGCCATTTTGAAGACTATGATTTGGGTTTTGATTCCTGGCCAACGAACGTCTAAATCACTGTTACCGAAATTTCACAGCTCTAGCCTGAAGCCTTTTGTGCCACCCGGAACGCAAAGGAGTATTACACAGATAGAGTTTGTGCTGTCATGTGTATTCAATGCACAGCACATATCTTATATTAGATGATTGGAGGCAATCGACCACAGGAAGCCTTGCTTGACCTAGGTTTCGTGCTAGTTGGCACTCATCAGCAAGGCGTATCTGCAACCTTGAAGGAACTGATGTCCCTTCTGAGATTCGAACACGCGTCACCCAGTGCTGCGGTCAGAGACGTTACCACTGAGCTATTCAGGCTCGCAACTGACCTCCTGTAGGACTGTATTGGATATTTTTGATTGCACACTAGTCAGCAACTAGTGTAATGTGTCTAGTCCTATTTTCGGTGCAGACTGAATCCTATCAGTCATGTTTGCAATGTGGCCACCATGCTAGGTGGCTCACCATTACTCACCAGCACTGGGTGACGCGTGTTCGAATCTCAGAAGGGACATCAGTTCCTTCAAGGTTGCAGATACGCCTTGCTGATGAGTGCCAACTAGCACGAAACCTAGGTCAAGCAAGGCTTCCTGTGGTCGATTGCCTCCAACCATCTAATACCAACAATTCACAGTGCACCGCAATGGTGAGCCACCTAGCATGGTGGCCACATTGCAAACATGACTGATAGGATTCAGTCTGCACCGAAGATAGGACTAGACACATTACACTAGTTGCTGACTAGTGTGCAATCAAAAATACATATCTTATACTATGAATCGTATCTCACGGTAAATGAAATAATAATACAGAATTGAAGTACTCATTTTCTTTCATTTCTCTTTCGCTTCAGATCATCATCCATACGTGAACTAAAGAAGGATCTTACAGCGGAAATGATATCAGCTATTCAACGCTTACCTAGTGAATTCGATTGGCTCCATCCACCTAAAGGTCTCCGTAGTCCAGTAACGCCTGTTCGTAGTCAAGGCAATTGTGGTAGTTGTTATGCATTTGCATCGACTGCTGCAGTTGAGGCTCGTTTGCGTTTAGTGAGTAATTTCACGCTTCAACCTATTCTATCACGTCAAGATATCCTGGACTGTAGTCCATATTCACAAGGTAAAATAAGAAATCAATAATTATAATGCAAGTACATATGTTATTCGATTATTTATTTATTCTACCATAATTATCATTATGATTATATTATTATTATCGTCATTATTTCCTTCGGTCCCAATTGGAACATCATGCACCAACAGGACGCCTCCATTTTGTCCTGTTTTTCAAAGGCTTCTTCGGCTGGCTCCACGATTTCTCATTGGCTTTCATTTGCACATCTTGCGAATCTCCTCCAGATCACTGTCAGACACCAAACTCGTCATTTCCCACTCAGGTTCCATTTGACTAGTGGCCTGACGAGAGATGTCACTCAGCCTCCTCTTAAGACTGTCCGACACACCTTCATTTCCTTCTTAATATTTTTTGACTAGTAGGCTCTTGGCTCGATCGTTTCAGAGTTTCTTGTTTCTAATTATTTGTGACTGGCCATCTTATCCTCTCTATGGAACCAGGGAAGGGCATATCTGTTGATAAAATTTTCCAGTCGGCTGTTTGAAATGCTTCTGTTGACACGCTGGCCAAGTTTCTGACTCATATAGACGAAGTGACTGACTCTACATCGGTTAAAACGATGATGCCTGGCTAGGAGAGTAAAGTAAGTAGTATTTCTCAAATTTCCCCATTTGATGGTGATTAGTGCTTGTTGTTGTTGTTGTCATTGTTGGTTGGCTGTCTTCATCACTTCCGTCTTCTTTAAGTTTCCTGTTCAGTGTCCAGTCTCAGTAGCTTCTGTCAGCTGGTTGATTTTCGTCTGTAATTCTTCGAGGTTATGTGACATGAGACATAAATCATCCGGGAAGTCTACATTTCCTAAGTGTCAGACTTATTCACGCACGAAGTGCTGCATAATCCAGTCCACCGCAATTTGGAATATCATCAGTGATATTTAGCTAACATCCTGGTTCAATCCTTCCTCTATTCGCCTCAAAGGCTTCGCTGAGATCGGCGTTGTGTATCATTTGACAATTGAGATTGTCAAGTAATTGTTGAATGACGTTAACAAAGATTCGGGGCACTATATTCCATTGTGTTGAAGTCGATTTCAGATTAAGGAAAGCCGTCAACGCTATCGAAGGCGACCAAAAAATAAATAAATAAATAACTCAAATAACATAAATTCATAGAAAATGTTATAATAATAATAATAATTTGCTTTATTCCAAAACAGTACTTGTGATACAGAATGGAATTCTCAGCATTTTTACTACAGTATTGCATCCAGTTAGTACATTATCAATAAATAGAATTCTACATAGATTGAAGAAACCACAGTTCATTATTACAACAATACATTGGCATGTCAGTAGCAAAAGTAAAGCTGAAACAGTGTTTGAAGGTGTTAGAAAAGTGGGAGCTGTCTTATTAACAGGCGTAAGCGAGAGAAAGAGACAAAGCAGCACATAACGGAAAAAAGAGAGAGAGAGAAAAGGAAAAGAAAGAAAGAAAATGTTGTACATATTGATGATGTGGGTTGGAAAGACGAGATCCAGTTGTACTACTGACTATTTAATGAATTATAGGTGTCACGCCTAATGCTCTCTTTATCACACAGAACACGAGCTAAGTAGGGTATGGTTGAGTTTTTGTACTTGCTGGTGCGAGCATATGGTTTTCTATATTGGCTTCTGGTTTTACCTGATGAGATGCAGGGGGAGAGTTGTGAGTGAAGAGGGTGTGGTGTGAGTTAGATAAAATGGATTTGGCCCATTTTTCACATGAGTCCATGTGCCTGTCAACCAGAGTATTAGCAAGCTGGTTAAGTGGCACGTTGCTTACTCTGCTAACAACATTTAACATCCTGCGTAAAATGTTATAGTCTTTCTTCAGTAGCCCTGGAAAAACTAAGGGGGAACAATAGAGAATAATAAGCAGGATGCGAGAATTAACGAATTGTAGGAGTAAGGGTTGGGTAATACCGGAATGTTTTAACTTCTTGATGTAGAAGGTAAGACGGAATATTTTCTTAGAAATTGCTAAGATATGAGACGACCAGGAGAGATCAGCAGATAGAATGACACCTAGGTATTTAATTTCCGATTTGGTTTCTATTTCAGTGCCGTCTATGTTGCATACCTCATGAGAGCCAACCAGTTTGTTTAGGTCGGATTTATGCCTAAAGGTGAAATTGACTGTTTGGCATTTGGAGGGGTTTAGGGTAAGACCATTTTCCTTGGACCACTGGCTGATTTCTGACAGAAAGCCATTTAGTTTGGAGCAGTCGCTTTGACATTTGACAGACAATTTTAAATTAACACAAGCTTAATTTGCCTCTTTTAGGTTGTGATGGAGGCTTTCCTTATTTAATCGCCGGCAAATATGCTGAAGACTTCGGCATGGTTACGGAGAAGTGCAATCCATATACTGAAAAACAAAGAAGTCAATGTAAAACAAGTAAACATTGTGAACGATACTATACAACCAACTATGCCTATCTTGGTGGTTATTATGGTGCAACAAATGAAGAAATTATGAGATTGGAATTAGTTCAGAATGGACCATTTCCTGTTGCATTTGAAGTGTATAAGGATTTTTTGTTTTATGAATCAGGTGTATACCGACATACAAAAATTGAAGTGAGTATTTTTGTCGAGTGTGTAGAGAAAGTGTAAAAGTAATGAGGAATATTTTCAGTGAACACATGTTGAATTCAATTTGGTTTGTTGCAAGTTTCACCGTTGACTGAAACGCTGAGGACCAGGGAGTACTGGACAGAGCTACTTTGTTCCGACTTGCACTCACCGGAAATTGAGCGCTCACCACACCCACCACGGGTTTGAACCCAACACCTACCGATAACAAGGAGAGTTTGTAGTCTATTCAGCTACTGGGTGGGAACCAACTCACGGATCCACCCATGAATTCCAACTTTTATATAAAAGAAAAAAGGCGTTCAGAGAAGAGACTCTTTTCGGCGATTTCATTCACTGAGCTGTATAATCGCATATTTATACAATTTTGTTTGTGTGTGTGTACATTAGATTTATAAAGTTTAGATAATTATGTAATATAAGTATTATTTGGCTTGGAGACAAACTTTAAGATGGAAAATAAAATAGAATTGATTAAGTGAACTGGATGAGGTAATACACTTGAGTAGAATTCAGATTAGGTCAGGTTGGCAACAGTGTTAATGAGTGGTGTTTAAAATCAAATAAGGGTGGGGTTAGAGAATAATACAGCTGAAAATAAGTAAGTTAATCGGATGACGTAACACAGTTGACTAGAAATTGGACGTGGGTCAAGTTAGTAACATTGTTAATGAGGGTAGAGATCACAAAAGGGTGGGGTAGAGAATAATATAAATGAAGATGTGAAATAATAAAATGCAAGAGACAAAATATTACAGTTAGTAAGACTGAAATTAAGAAAGATTACGTCCATTGTAGATTTAATGAATGAACGAATTTCTTTTGTATGCAGAGTTCAGGATTTAGCAGATGAACTGCCATTGCTTCTGCGATGTGGAGAAGTTTGATCCGTGCACTTTTAGCAAGATTGCCTTGTATTCTGTAGATAACTTTGAAGTTTATTTCTGGTTTGACTTGGTGTCCAGAATCGATCAAATGTTCAAGGATCGAGCTGCGGGGGCATCAGTTTTCTCCTTTATAAAACCATGAAGGCTAATGTTCGTTGACGCGTTTGGTTAGCGAATGCTGAGTACGGCCGATATACCTGGCTCCACACGAGCAGATAAATTGGTAGATGCACATAGATGAGGCCAACAGCGGTAGCTTATCCTTCACGTTCATACGAATCATTGGTCTCGTGGACTTTTACGAATTCGTGATTTTAGCGCAACCACCAGCCAATCAGTCTCAAACTAGAATGAAACAGCTGTCTTGCCGTATTCTCTGATTTTCACTGGTTCTCTTACTGTTATCGATCCGTGGTCATACTTGAAATAATTCCAATCCGGACAGGTTACAGTAGAGCAAACCAGTAGTAAAAACTAACCAATGACCTTGAACGCATACACTTAGTTGGATGACGCCAACTCCCATTATATGAAAGCGCCACTATGCACAAATTGAGCGACAATTTTCATCCTGTTTTCGTTTTTTTTCGATAATGTGTTGATAGGTGGTCAGGGTGACATTTAACTGTTTAGGGTTACGATTAGGGTTAGGATCGGGATTCGGGTTAGGGTGTTTAATTCTATTTTGTGCATTCTATTTCTAGTAAAAATCGTTTTCGATCGTCCTACTGAAACCCATACTGCCTATTCAACCAGAGGATAGCATTTGGGGAAGACTAAAAAAACAGGATAAGAGCGATAGATGGGTAACAGAACGAACTCATCTTCAATCATCTCGATGAATACATGCAGGGTGCGTCGGTGGCACAGTGGTTAGGACCCTCACCGACCATGCACATGGTCCGGGTTTCGAACCCTGCCGGCGCACACCCGATATCTATGGTCGGCCTGAATTTGGGCTACCGATATCGATGCTGAAAATTCCACACTTGTACTGAAAATACGGTGTGGCATCAAGCTGTAAATCAAAATAAAAAAAATAAAAATAGTTTAATCTCATCCTGATATTAGTCGTTGTAATAGAGAGATATGTGTAAGTGACATTCGGGAAAAATATCCTGTTAAATGTGTTCTCCCACTATTCCCTCCATATCTTACGTAAATATATGCCACGAGAATGTAGAAGTTAGAATCCATGGACTGGTCATTGTGTTGGGTCCTATTGGCTAAATGGTGAACGAGATAGCTCGCCTTGTAACCGAGAGGTCGTGGATTCGACCTGTGGTGGTGGGTGGGTAGTGATGATGCATCGCAGGCTAGGACGAAACACCTATGCAGTACTCCACTGAACAAGTAGTTGTGCTGATGGGTCCAGAATTCGAGTTTCGATAGAATGGCATCATTCAATGTGAATTGCAGGTAGGTGATGAAGAGTGTAAAGTAGGGTGAAATGTGCGTCCTGGATCCGACTGCTAATTACCATCAGCCAAATCAACGGACATCGACGTTAAATGATATCACCACATTCCACTAAAATGGTTTCATACAGCAAGTTCATGTGTTGTCTATTATTCCTTCATATCACATTATTCGCGTCTACTTTATTTCTTTTTTCATTTGATTTGGAAGAGTACTGTCAAAAAGACTGTCTCAACTCAGTCCAATTCCTAACAATTTACACTTACATACTTTTGCTTTCTTTTTCTATTGTAAAACATTCGACGGACAGAATCAACATTATCCATTCAATCCATTCGAGTTAACTAACCATGCTGTATTGCTAGTTGGTTATGGTGTTGACAAGAAGACAAATCTACCCTATTGGAAGATTAAAAATAGTTGGGGTGAGCAATGGGGTGAAAATGGATTCTTCCGAATACTACGTGGTTCAGATGAATGTGGTGTTGAAAGTCTTGCTGTTACATTTGATGTTGTATTTTAATGTGAAGAAAGCGAAAATTGTACGCTTATAATATAATTAAAGAAAGCAGATTAAATGGAAGAACGATGCTTTCTTATTTTGTCATATTATTATTACTGTTCCCTTGGGTTCCTAGTGGAACATAGGGCTTCAACTGCACGCCTCCACTTGATTCTGTCTTCTGCTGTACTTCTCACTTGCATCCATGTTAGTCCATACTGTTTCAACTCTTCTTCACACGATCTCCTCCATGTCACCCTTGCACGTCCCACTCGCCGCTTCCCTTTCGGGTTCCACTGGAACACTGGCCTGACGCGCGATGTCACCCAACGGCCTCCTCAGCGAGTGTCCAATCCATCTTCACTTTCTCCTGCATATTTGTTGGGCGATTGGTTCTTGTTTTGTTTGTTTCCATAGTTCCTTCTTGGTGATTCTTTCCGGCCATCTGATCCTGAGTATAGAACGAAGACAGTTGCTGTTGATAAAGGTCTGAAAGCTGTTCTCATATTATGCTTATATGCAAATTCGGGAACGTTCTGTTTCTATGGGTACAGAGGAATTCGAGACTTCGATTTGACTGTGTTCTCTGAGGAACTGGTTGATTTAATTGTGAAGATTTCGTTGTCCCTCACCTAGACAACACCTCCAGCGCAGACTTCAATATGAAGTTAACTTGTATAAAGTCTTTGTGAATGATAATATAAATGTATCCCATGACAGTCATTGTAGTAACTGCCAGTCAGGTGGCATTGATCATTTTGTGCCGGCTTGAAATATGAACTTTCTTGTCATTTGATTTATTTTTTATTGATTGATGAATTTGATCTGCAGTGATGTTTGTGGGTCTAATTAATCGCTGATTCATCTGAGTACTACACCATACTTCTAGGAATTCCTGGGGATTTGTTCGGTGTTTCCTCAGTCTAAAATTTCTATACTATCCCAATCAAACTAATGTCTGTGATTGTCTACATGCGCTGATATGAATGAATACAACGTATCGTGTCTTATCACAGCTAATTTATGTTCTTCGATTCTGATTCGAAAGCGACGCTCAATATGACCAACTGAATTATTCACGGAGTATTCAACGCAACTTCACTTCATACTAAAACCTGTGCTGAATATGTTGTCTAGAAAAGGGACAACGAAAGCTTCGCAAATTCATCAGCCAGCCCAAATGGAAATCACCCACCTGAGCTTCATATCTTCTCTATCATTTCAATTTCAGACTTCAGCTTCTTGAAGGTAGCGGGCTGAAGATGTTGTCCGGAAAGACAGTGGCGCGTCTCCAGCTTAGATGACACAGCCTAACCGTGTCATTAGGTGGTAAATTTATCTGGATTGCCTACATTGATTTGTAAAAGTGTATACTAAACACAACAAATTCAGCGATAAACTCAGCTCTTCTCGATTAATTCAAGTATTCTGTAGGAAGTAGAGTGTAGCTTGTTACATTTTGTATATGAATTAATATATATATACCACTTTTGGTACAGAAACTTCATCCACTCATTCCTTCGCCATCCGAGTGGAACATTACGACATCCAGCTTTGAGCTTCGAAGTTCCAGTAGTGATGGTGACTTCTAAAAGGTGCATTTGCTAGTCTCACGCCCAACCTTCCTTCTTTAACCGAACTTACTGCGAGATAAGTGATGTTCAGGCGTGTGTCACCCAGAAGTCAAATCCACGACCGTGTCTGTTGTTGATACACATTCTACCACTGAACCACATATTAGAGATTTCTAGTTTGCAGTGGTGACAATCACTTTTGCAGAATAGTTTTGCTCTTTGTAAAGACTCTTTCTCAAAGGCCTCATAAACTGTGCCAGGGAGGACTCACTAAAGTTTTTCGAATTCATTTTCATATGGAACGCTGAGTGATCTGAAGCTGACGATATCACTTGCACCTAAGACATCCGGTACTTTCGTTTATGCTGTAGTGTTGTGTAAATTTTATCATTCATATCAAGAACTGCCAACAATTAGTCATTCACATAGCTGTGTCTCAAAACAAATAATATTTCAGTATATAACAAAACCACCCTTGTCATGAAATCTTCAGACAAAGCTATCTTAATGTACAGTCAGTGAATTGCTCCATTCAGTGATCGCAAGTCACTTCCATGCTGTACACTTATTTAGGATGTTTATTCATAAAATGTAGATTGGCAATAGAGGTCGGAGGTTATTGTCAGTTAGTAAGAAAACAAATCAAAGTGCGTGGGGAGTAACCATGTTTAAAAAACTAGGAATGGCCTAACTTAGTCAAGAGAGTTGACAACTAACATTACTTAAGTGATGAATAATCGTTTGGAAGTCGTTGATAAGAGACAAGAGAACAAAAGATTGCAAGTGGGTTGCAAAACACATAGAAAGTGGACAACATAGAGCTTATTATACAGTTAGTCATTTTATAAAACGAGAAAGGAAGTAGAGAAAAATAAGAGAAGAAAAAATATGAAAGAGCTGGTTGGATGAAGCCTTTCTGAACACAGAGTCCAAATTCCTTTATAAGGATTACTAAGACTTCAACTGCATGGAGAAGATGTAGGTGAGATCCTTTCGAATGCCTTTGTCGTACTTTATATGTGACTAACTCTAATGGAAGTCTGTGCTGTTGTTACATAGTCAGAAGTAACGATATGCTTCAAAATTGAGCTGTTGACAGCTATACATTCGCCTTCTATGAACTATGCTGGTAAGTATTCGTGGCCACAACTAGATAATGAATGGCCTGCTGGTACAGCCTTTGTACTTAGCTCTAGAGGATTAAGTGAACTGATGAAACACACACTGTAGTCGGAAACAGGGGGATCTTGTCTTTTACGTTTCGGTAAACAGGGACATGTGTGTAGAGAAGGTGAGACGTGTGAATGCAGCAAAGAACGTGTTCCTTATTGTATAGAAATAAGAATTTTTCATAGATCCAAGAAGTCTAAGTCACTTCTGTTGTTTTGTGGATTCAAGTGCAACATTTCTGCTCGATTGACAAATAGACTATGACTGTCGACAGTAGAATTATTATTATCGGAGCATTATTTAAGTATCAGTATCCACAGGTTGTGAATTGCCTACAGAAAATCTCAGTGTGCCTCAATCTCGAAATTCGTAGTCACAATGAGCGTTATAACGCATTTATAGGTAAGAAGTGCTATTTGTGATTGTGACTGCAGATTTTAATATGAAAAATGTAGGTGTAGTGAAAATGTTAACGAAACAGGGACTGTAATGTATAAGGGGAAACATGGAACAAGAGAAATGGACGACATACCTGGAAACAAATACGACTGTCATGGGATATCGAAATCGAAAGTATACATAGCTGGCAACTTACAGATATTTATTCCGAACTCGAATCGAATAACAAACTCGGTTTCCTGGATATTACAATGACCAGGAGAGATGATGGAACGATTCAGCGATCTATTTTTCGTAAACAGACATGGAGTGGACAGTATCTTCATTTTACCAGTTTTGTTCCTATCCAGTATAAACTTTCTTTAGTGAAATGTTTGTTCTCAAGGCCCGAAAAGTATGCACGAGTAACATACTGATGGATGAGTTTCGACACATACATTCAGTTTTATTAGCTAATGGTTATCCAGAAAACTTTATCACTTGTCACAGTAACGATAGACCACATCTCGAAAAGTCAGCTTCTGTACCAAAGAAAGCTCCTTGTCTTTATTAACCTACCATTCAAGGGTGACCAGATTATGCAGTTGACAGCTCAAAGACTTCGGTCAGCCATCAAACGCACATTCTACGCCGCATTTTTTTTTCTCACTTGCCGAAAATGTTCGATCCCTGTACCTATGATTAAAAGACGAAATTCTGGGGAATCTACTTCAAACTGTATCTACAAGTTCACCTGGAGCTGCGGTGATACCTATATAGGTAGAACCAATAGAATATTCCAGTGTGGTCGTCAAAAAGAACATGTTCCAAATTGGTTATTAAAACACATAGAAAATCCCAATGCAATCAGTCTGAATAGAAATCCATCATCATCCATTGCAAAACACTTATTAATGTCAGGTCACAAAATCAATATGAATGACTGTTTCACAATTATTTCACATAACTCTAATTCAAGGTTGGTGATTGAAGGTGATGGAAGCACTTTGGATTAATCACATACAGCCTAAACTGTGTGTACAAAAAATAACAGACTTCAACTATCGCCTACCGTGGACAACTTGACCTTTTTAAAAATATGATTGGTCATTATATGTACTTTTGTTTTTTATTTAACTGAGTAATTGTCATGATCTTTATCTTATTTTATTATTGTTAACCATGTTAGTTGTAAAGTGGTTGTAAAGAAACTACGAAATGATATCATCTCGAGAAATTTATCTTCTAAATGCCCTTAATCAAAGGTATTTATTTATTTATTTTTTATTGTAACTTGACTCCACACAGTATTTTTGATACAGGTATGGAATTTTCAGCAGGTGATATCGGTAGCCCAAATTTAGCAGGCCAACCATTGACATCAAGTGTGTATCGGCCGGGAATCGAACCCCAGACCATGTGCATGATCGACGAGTGTCCCAATCGCTGTGCCACCGACGCACATCTACTCAGAGAGAAGCTTAATTCAGACGAACTGATCGTTAAATGTTAGATCATGTTTACTTCTAAATGTTTCTCAAATAAAAGAAGTATCAACAGTGTTATGAACGAGGATGTTAGAAGTCTTGAACTCGCCGTTCACTGATTTGCACTTTTGATGCTCAAATTAGCATACTGTGTTTTGTTTTTACGAATGTGATTATGCTTTAATATTTGATGTGTAAATTAATAATCTCTTTCAGCTGGTATTGTCTTTGTCAAGGATAATTTAAGATTGGCTTTTTTTGTATGACAGAAATAATTATTGTTATATTGTTTTTGACAACATTAATGATGTTTAAAACCACGTTAAATTAATAGTACCGACAGAGTGCACTTCGAAAACATCAGTAAAAGAAAAAGAGAGGGAGATAACATGCATTAGTATAACACTAAACTGAGTATCATACAGATTAAGGGAAGTAACACAGAATTTTTGAATTTATAGTCTCGAAGGCAGGCCT